GAGAGAGAGAGAGAGAGAGAGATGTCATGACAGACGACAGCGACACTTACCAGTCGACAGCTCCGTTCATCTCCAGGTCTGGTTGGTTCCCCACGATGTGGTCAATATGCATCAGGCCCACCTTAGGTCTGCCGAGAATTGAACCAAAGAAAAAACAAACACATGAAATTATGAAATGATGATGTGCGATGAAGATTAAAATAATAATTATTATTATGGGGTCTGCAGAAAATGGAAAAAAACAAACATACTATGTCACATTTTAATCTTCTATACAACGACGGTGATGATGATAAGTGGGAAGATGATGATGATGATGGTGATGATAATCACACTTTGATCACTCTTGCAGAAGGTATTTATGTAACAAGGAAGGTATATCCAATGTGTAATTTTGTTAAAATAACTTTGCCTCTTTTGTAGAGACCCAAAGGTTTTCATGGGCCCAAATTAGGCATTACTGCCCTACACTGACAAAGCGCCTTTTTCTTGATCTTATATGTACAGCGGTTTTGAGAAATCAGCTATTTTCAGTTTTCTTACATAATATCTGTTGAGCATAGGGGATGACTTTCTCTTGGGCGTGCGAGATCAACTGTTGATATACTGGACAAAACAGTTGAGATATTACAAAAAACCAGAAAGTAGTTAATTTCTCGAAACTGCTGTGAATAAGAAAAAGGTGTTTTGTCAATGTAGGGCAGATTACTTAACTGTTGAGTTATTATTCATTTGTGGCTTACAAAATTTTCGTCAGTGGATCCTTGTTGGGAACTCGGACAAATCCCGGGAGGAACTCTCCTTTGTAGTTGGCGCGGTCGATCAGAGTGTGGGTGGTGTCTCCGTACGTCTGGATGACAGCCATGCGGATTGTTCCGTTGTCATCCGACTCTTCCCAGATGTCTTTCACGATGATACCCCCTCGACTTTTTGCTTTCTGGAGAAAAACAAAGAGACAAAACATTGATCGATTGAGTGAGTAAATGCTTTACGGTACCATCAACATACGTTACAGACAAGTAGAATATGGCTTTGACTGAAAGAGATGGTGAGGATCCGTTTTTGTCTGGGGGTATCGTGACTTCCTTTCATGACGGAGAACAAGGTGTGATTCCAGTGTGAAACGTTGGAAAATTACTTAAGGGTAAGAGTTTATATCTACAATAGTCCCCCCCCTCCCCCCCCCTCCCCGTC